TCCGGACAACCCAATATATACATATTTAAATGGAGAGGGGGGGGGGAGGGAAAGTATGCATATATATTTCATTATCAATATAAGATATAACACTTAATGATTTCTTTTAGAAAAACATATTAAACAGAATATAAAGTGCGCAATATCAGAGATGTCAACTTAGAAATCTGCAAATGGACATGCGACTGTATGCGAGTCACAGAAAGACCTTCTGACCTAAATTGATCGAGATATAATGAACAGCATGAGAGTGACGACGACAGATCCTGCCGTTATCATTATTAATGGCAGTCGCGTTAAAATCGAGGATGATGTTTTATGCTAAGTACCTGATCGTCAACCAAATCACGAAATACGGTACCTATTAAATCGTCTGGTAGTCGATGTTCACTGATGTTTGTTCGCCGAGTGGAACAATGATCACTGGGATCCGGTTTTGTGAAGATGTGCACTTTAAAAGCGCTTTAAAAGCCCACCTACGGCTTCGCCGATCGTCAGTCGCACCCTGCTATTCAGTATGTCTCAACTATATTATGATTCGCAATACAAAACGTGCTCAGCACAGGTGAATCTTGAAAATATCAAATTGTCTAATTTTCAATCTTAAAAAAATTTTAAGTTTTTCGAAAATATAAAAACTTTAAATTACATTCAAAAGGAGACTTAAGCTAAATTACTTTTATTTAATTCATTATACTATAGTTATCAAACTAATTTATCAAACTAATAATTTATCAAATTAATGGGTGATCGTTGCAGATATATCAGTGGCTCTTCTTCATCAGCATGATATCCTCGGAAAATCTCGTGAACGGATTTGAATCTCGAGACGCGATCTTTGTGAATTTCCATCGCAGACACAACATTTCGAAGGTAGCGATACTTCATGACAACAGTTATTTACCTCCAACTTCGATTCCGGATTTCTCCCTGCCGGAAGTGATCGATAACAGAGCTCGGAACGTAGCGGTCGCGGTAACGGACGAGACCAGAAACTATCCCAACGCGTTGTATCATCTTCCTGAACGGGATTCCTTGCGAATCCCCACGCGCAAGGATCCGTACGACACAAGGTATCCAGGGAGCGACGGGTTGCGAATACCTCTGCATCATCGTCGACCTACTTTCCAACAAGGCAAACACCCTCAACAGACCACAACGCAGACTCCTCCTCCTTCTCCTCCTTTTGGTGAAACATCACCATCCTTCGTAAACCGCGTTAGCGTTGAGGAGATGTCCTGTCAGAACACGAGAGACGAATTGTTCTTCAGGTAATGAAATTCAAGAGGATTTTAACTCTTTTTTTTTATCACATCTATAAGCTAATCTTTGCTACATTTTTCGAATCTTAAATAACATTTTTACATTAAGAGACTAAACAATTCCATCGATCACACACACATTTAATTTTAATTTTGAGACAATTAAATTTAATATATAACTAAATTAATTTTAATGAGATGGATATTTTGAATTTGATAATCAATATGTATACATACGTATAATAATTTCATGCACATATTACACAATCCATAATTATAGAGCATCTATCAAAGTGAAGAATACAGTTCCACCGGTGATAGATAATGTGACGGGTGATGCTTGTCGAGCAATAGCAGTTAGGGACTCTTATCACATTAGTTTTGAGAAAGACCAAGTCTGGAATTGCGGAGTTGTTGATTGTTCTACGGATGACAACCAATCATACTGCCTCGATTTGAGATTCCCTGTGATCTCCGGTCTACGACTGAAAGACGACCATAGGGTGACGTTGCGATGTAAGACCCAGAACAGAATCGCATATCATACGAGACAGATCAGCGTAAAGACTTTAGAAGCGTAAGACGCATCATTTGTCTTCTGACAAAAAATGGCAAAAATAAACATCCGTCTGACGCGGAAAACGAATTATTCAGATACATTATGTATCCCCCATAGGAAAGCGAGGAACATACCAAGCGTGCTAAACGGCGGTGCTGAAAATGCTCTGAATATTGATGTTGGACTATTCAGGAAGACTTACGACTCAAAAAACATTTTCGACACGAAAATACAATCGGGCGGCACGGTCGTCTTAGGCGAAGAGATTTTGTTACGCGTATTAATCAACGGCAACGACAGTAAGCGCTTTAGTACTGAACGGTGACGGTACATTTTTATTTCTTTAGTAAGACGAATGGCGTACCTGGGACATCGACATTACTTCATGTAACATACGATTCGCTAAATCGATAATTTCACCTCGCAAAGAGTAAGATACAAGAGTAAGATACAAGAGATATGTATAAAGAAAAATCAATCTCACAATCCTATTAAATTGATATAAAATTAATCTCAAGCAAAAGTTGATTAAATACATAATTAAGATCACAAATTAAAATTATATAATTAAGATCGTTAACTATATAATTATACTAATTAAATATGAGAATAGATTTAAACGATGAACATTAATTATTTACGCAATCTTAATTATTTCAATTTTCATTTTTTATTCTTTCTGTTCAAAGGCTGGCGACACTCAAAAATCGGCCAAGTGACAATGCATTACGTAGAGGAGCGACAGCAACAGAAAATCGTTAACAGTCTATTGATTCTCGATAAGAATGGTTGCTTAAATCCGGACGTGCATGAGATTTGTCCTCGCGAGCAATATGCGATGTCACCGTTGGAGAGCTACCTAATTTTTCAAGCGTTCATGTTTGAGGGCATGAAAGAGACCGACGAGATTTTCCTCACTGTGAAGGCCATGGCATGCGTAGAATCTGTGGACTGTGTTTTGGATTGTCCCGGCAGTCACATTAGACGTGCCAGAAGTGTCTTGGATCGAAATAATACTGTCGAGTGGCAAGATGACATTGTTCTGCGTGTGATTCTTCCAAAATATGAAACACGCGCTTTACAGAATTATTATTTAGCAATCCTGTTATCAGCGGCTGCGTTACTCGTATTAATCGCGTTGTTATGGATTATCAGAATCTCGCTTCGTCAAAAGATAGTAAAATCCTAAATAATCTTAAATGCTTAATTTATTTATAAATCTCTATGATTGTGTATAAAATTTTAAATTGTATATAGCTGTATATTGAATAAACGAGTTATTGTACACATTCAGTTAATGGAGTCTCGTTAATCTAAATGCAAATTGTCGTGGTTCTATAAGAGGCTTAGGTGAAGATTACGTGTTGGCCATTATCGATATTTTGGTCTTATGAAACACGATTCGGCATCTCCCACGCATCCAGCTCGGAGCACAGCTTCAATCCGATTGCAAACAATGCGAAAGACGCGAATATACTCTTCACAAACGGATCCCTGCTCAAAGTATATACCATACAAGCCAGAGAACACGTGCATACGTCTTCGAAGTAGCTGAAACCTTTCGTCAGATAATAATGATCTACGACTCGCTGCCGCATCTTCAATTTACGCATAATGCGTTCTGCAATATAAACAAGCCTTGATTTGTAGAAACATAAATTGATATATATATAAAAAAAAAAATATATATATATATGGGAATGGGAAATATATATAAATATCTCCAGAAAAGAAGATCAATACAATAAAAAACAATAAGTTTTACTGAATTTTTTTTCCTGAAGATAAATAAATTGCTTGCCTTTCTGCTTTTTTACTAGAGGACATGTCTCCTCGCAAGCATCTTCTGCAGGTTTACGCGAAACGATCTGTTCTGCCAGCTTCTCGGGAGTTCGTTTCACAGATACTTCTTCTCTAACCGGTCGTTCTTCAGGCATTGCGGTCACTGCTTCTCGTTCCCTCGGTGGTCTGACAGGTCTTTCGCGATCGATTTTCTCGTAGGTGGCCGCATACCTGCAAGTTTTAGTACACATCGCCCTCGGCTGCTCTGGAATTTCCCTTGCTATTACGGTGGGTAGAATCTCCTGCAATTCCTCGTCGATATATTGCTCATAGTCAATTTTGCCTTCTTCCTCTTCGTCATATTCTACGGGCTCCTCTGGCACTAAAATTATCGTTCAAAATTATCATCAAATTCATCAGTCAAATTTCTCTGTAAGTCATATCTCAATAATTATTCTTAATTACAGTGCTCTTCTAATTCTCGCGACGGTTCCAATTCAATTTTTGGTTCTGGCGCCTGTTCAATTTCGTCTTTGATAATCTCAGGTTTCTTAATCGGAACTTCCTTTATAGGTTCTTCTGCGATTCCTTCCACAATTAAGTCTTTCTCTTCAACGAAATCAATTTTTCCATTGCGATCTGTTATCCTTTCTATCGGACTGACAGTGATTTCCTTCTGGACAATCACAGGTTCTCGGTCTATTTTTTCTTCTTCAGTATTCAAATCAATTTTTCCATTGCGATCTGTTATCCTTTCTATCGGACTGACAGTGATTTCCTTCTGGACGATCACAGGTTCTCGGTCTATTTTTTCTTCTTCAGTAATCAAATCAATTTTTTTTTCATCAGGACTTACTATTTCTTCTGTCAGAATGACAATTTCTTCCTGGATAATTTCTTCCTGGATAGTTTCTTCCTGGATAATTTTTTTAACAAGATAAATTTTCTCTTCATCACAATCTATTACTTTTTTTATTGAAGTGACAGTTTTTTCCGGATTGATTGTGGGATTTTGAACCAATTCTTCTTCAATAAAATCAATTTTTTCTTCATCGCAATTTGTTATTTTGTTTATTGGATTGACAGGTTTTTTCGGATTGATTGTAGGGTTTTGAACTAATTCTTCTTCAATAAAATCAATTTTCTCTTCATCGTGATTTGTTATTTTTTTTATTGGAGTAACAAATTTTTCCGAGATAATTGTGAATTCTTTGATTAATTTCTCTTTTTTTAAATCAATTTTTTCTTCAGTATCATTAACTATCTTTTCTGTTGGGATGATAGTTGGTTCTTTAACGATTGGAAACTCCGAGAAAATCACTGGTTTCACTTCGACTTTTAACTCTTTAGATTGTATATCATTGATAGGTACATGTGCTGTCTCAATTACACGTTCGTTTCGTATAGTTCTTGAAATAATATCCGACGGAAGTCGCGGTTCCACATTGTTCTTTTTCCGCGGAAAAATTCCGTCCGTCACATTAGGAAATTCCTTGACTATTTTAGGAAGATAGAAACATTTACGCAAAACGTATTAAACGCGTATTTTTAAAATATCAACATTTATTAATAATGCGTTCAAAGACATCTTATAAAGAGACATACTTGTGATACGGAGTTGTTCCCTGACTTTGGGACAAGTTATGGGACATTGATTTTTTATAGAGTCACGGGGCATTTAGAATGTATAATAATTCGCGCTTCCATAGATTACATATTTATATACGAAACACATTCATTATATTTCACAATTTCGCAAAAATAGCGAAATGTGATCTAAACAACTTTTATTGTCTATTTAACATTGTTAACATCCCGCTTTCATCTTTTGTTGAGGTTGACATGCCAATTTCATCTATATCCAAGTTATCTAAAGTTCGCAATAATTTACGTCGATTCGTGTCTGTATTCGCTTGATAAACTCATAGAATATTTAACGTGCAAACGATGAATTCTGAAAACATCCCGGATTACTTAAATAAAAATATATTCCCGATTTTATTAAATGCAATGGAGGAAATGTTACTTGAAGCTGATCGTCGAAATGCGTTAAAAGTATAATGTTGCATCAGATATCGCGTGTATTTTTAGAGTTAATAAATACAAACGATATCTTGAAAAAAAATTATTATACTTAGACACATAAATGCTCCTTTAATGGATTGGATTATCTTGCGGAGATTCTTTGGAATCGAAACTCGCGACATCCGAATAGATTGTGCACTTGGCAAGGCGTATTTAACATACCACAATTCAAGCTATGGCTAAAGTTGCAGTAAGAAGAAAACATACCCCGGTTTTTTAAAATTATATTTTATTTTACATCTTTTTTTTTTAGTCCTAGGCCAATTTATCCAAAATCGTGGTTGTGGACTAAAGAGGAGGCCGCCTTACATATACAGAGATATGTTCGTGGTTGGCTTGTTAGAAAAAAAACGGATGTTCAGGAGATGCGTCAGTTTTGGAAGGTATTATTGGTATATAATTAAGGAATTGAAAAATAAATAATGGTTCTTGCATAAATTGTAGATCATTCGAGCAGAAAAAATGGATGCTCCCGAATTTTATACATCCAATGAAATGAAGCTTTGAGAATTCGGATTGTTTTCTTTTTACGTTTCTTCCTAAAATAATTTATTGCTTTTCTCTTCAGAATAATTTATAAAATATTTATTCTTAACAACTATATATATCAACATTAAATGTAAAACCTCACAAGGTTGCTGTCTCTTCTGGCTTTGGGAAAAATGGACTAGACTCGTCCACCTTAAAGTTCAATTTCATCGTTGGGATTTCACCTTCCTTAGCTATTCTGTAATTCTTAATATCTGTTGCTGTGAGATTATATTGAAGATTTAATTTTGGTTCTGTGGACACAGCGATGCCTTTTGCCTTCATCTGATTTATTATCAACTGTGAGAATAATGGTGGAAGTTCCGTTGTCCTGGGTAGGATTCTCTTCTCCACTACCTTCGTGTTATTAAGAAATATATGCTCCTGATCCTTAGGAATCAGCACATAATCTGCCTTGTAAGTCGAACCATCCAGTTGCACTGGTTTCGAGCTTTTGTTGCCACGGAAGACTTTCTCAACTAACACCATAACTTTGCGGTCGATCTGAAGCAATGCAATGCAACTACATTAGAAGATGCAACACAAATTAAAATTGATATATTGCATGTTTTCCAATAAGAGATATACATTATACAAGAAGTCTGTTCTTTATCGAAATACTGTATACAAATTGAAGTGAAAGAAATATAATTTGATTTAATCCAACTTCTATGTATCATGTGTATCAGCTCAGAGAGTAAAAAACGATTCGAAAAAACAATATCGAAAAAACGATAAAAAACGGACTTCATATACAATAAATCATTATATTTTTATTGATTGTCATATTAAATAAAGATTACTGAAATGATTACTGTTACATTGTTTCTGTTGCTAGAAAGATCAATCATTATTTTCAGCACTTACATAGGGTTGATCGGGTAAGGGCATCCCAGCGACCTTCAGTATTTTCATGTAACAAGGCTCGGGATATCTCTGAAAGCGATTTCTTATCACGAGTCTGCCAACGCCAAAGTTCTTCAAGTTTGCCACGATTTCCCATAAGGGCTTTCCCTTGAAATCTGTCGTGCGACCGATGAATTTTATAGGCATTGTGAACAGTTGCCCGGTAAACGACTGCCGGATTCACCAGATTTCTGACTCTCTACAAATTTTCCTCCTGCTGATTAATTCTGTGTACCGAGTTGTTGTCCCGATTCTTTCTTAATGTTGTCCTCGATTATCCGTGAAATGCAACATTAAAATCAACGTTTACTTTATGAAAATTATGCGTATTTTGTATAACAATAAACAGTGTTTTGAGATTAAGATTGCAAGAGAGGTTATAGAGTGGATTTTTTAATTCTGCTGGAAGGTGATAGATGGCAGCACAAGTATTGAAATCGTTCTCGGACGTTTTCGGACGCGGTCGGCGCAGCTTGGAATGATGTTCTCGCCGATTCAAATTTAGTGCGACGATACCGCGAGCAATGCGCGTAATACCGATTATGAGGGGTAAGTTGTAAAATGGCTTTTCCAATGATAAAATATTCGAAAAATATCGAGAAAGACATTCGAATTCCTGATCTTTCAAGTATTCTGTAAAGATAAAGTAGATCATCCTCTCGTATTCGAGAATATCCGAAATTCGCTTGAAGCGTAATTTTTCGAAAACTGTTGCAAGATGGCGGAAATTTGCAGTCGCGACTTTACTCGAACAAGATTCTCTTTCTCAGGACGAAGGTATTTTTAAGAAAATATCGAGATATTATCGTTTATCGTGTTTAAATCACTATTGTCGTCATTTCCCTTTTTCGCCTGATATTCAAATATTTATTCTTATGACGAAAATTCGATTACAGATTGCGCGCAAATTCCAAGTGATTCTCACACTTCTCGACGATCATAGATCTGTTCACGTTGCATGAAATTCCCAAATATTTTTACACTTAAAATGAGATAGGTATATATTTGACTTTTTGAAAAGAGAAAAAGCGAAGATGTCGAGTGCAAAAAGTGCGAGCAACGCGAACAGACCTCATAATTATGCAACGTCGGGGCAAAGAAGCGATTGTAGAATACAAAGTTTATGTGTGTGTAAGTTATTTATTAAATTGATAAATATAATATATATATAAACTGTTGCAAAGAAAATGCATTACTCGACGATCCGAACGCTCGAATCAGATTTCGCGAATTGCGTGCCGCGTATCGCTAGTCGGTGCGCAAATGGCGCCGACTTTGGCGCGCGATCAAGAAACTACGTTCCACTTGATGGAATTCTAACACTCTTGGAATTATTTGATACTTGTCAAGTGTTAAACAAAGGCCGCATTTAGCAGAAAAAGCTTTGCAACTGTTGCAAAGTTCTTAATATATGTATAAGTTCTAATTATTTCCATTTAAGCACATTTAGATCCAGTGTTAATTAAGTGTAAATTAAGGCAAGATTAATCATATTAAAGAATTTTACAAGAGTTGCAAAGCTATTTTTTCTGTAGTGAAGGACAAATAATACTCGCGAGTGTTATGTGAGCGCCAAGTGGAATGCATTCCTAGAAATCTATATACAATAAATTAAAGATTTTTAAATAAAAAAAGAGAGAAACTAATTGATGACACAAGAACGAGCAATAATCGAATAAATTTGTTTTGAATCGGCCGCCTCCAAGTAAAATTTGCTCATATGCAAATATAATAGAATATAAACCGTTTTAATATAAATATATATAAATATGTCTTTCTCTATATACGAAATTAAAATATTGTTCGATTTTAAAGAAATGGAACTTTGTCTTTTTTTTATGTCAAATATGATTCGAATGTTCTCTTATCATTAATTCACAGATCCGACAATCTGATGAATCCAGTCGAGATAGTGCGAGACGCGCGTGTAGACTCCAGGCACGTTTCGTTGGCCGCAACCGATGCCCCAGGAGACGACGCCGACTAACTGCCAGTGACCCTGACGCTCGCAGACCATAGGACCGCCACCATCGCCCTTGCAGGCATCCTTGCCCTCCTCGCCGCCGGCGCAGATGAAGCCCGGATGGAGCGTGAAACTGTGTCCTAGCCGCGTCTGCCTCATCTGCTGTTCACACACATGGTTGCTGACGACAGGTAGGTTCACCTCTTTCAACAAGTTAGAATACTTGGAGCGATCGTCGAAAGCATCCTTGCCCCATCCGGTGGTCCAGCATCTGCCATACATTACGTTAAATTTCAGTAAAGTGCACTGCGTTTAGAAGTGAGAATCCGTTCGGAAAGATTTTTGGTTTACGATTATTTGACTCTTAATAATAGGAATTTTTTAAAAATATAATAGAATATAATTTGTTATTTATATCAATTTTTCTGAAACATCTGCTGCTTCTTCTCGTGTATATATGAGGCAACATTAAGTATTTACGAAAAATAAGAGATAATTAATGTTATTGCTACGTTTTTTAAATAATACTAGGCTTTAAACTACTAGGCTAAAACTTGTTAAATTCTGGAAATTATATTAAGAATATTATAGCATTATAATAGCCATATAGGGTTAAAGATATAAAATATTCTATCAAGAAATATTCTATCACGTTTTAAGTATATATATTATTGTATATGTCTCAAATTTCATGTTATAAGTATTTATCTACAAAATTTGTTGTCGCTGTACTAACATCAATTACTTTTCTCTGGGGAAATACTTGATATCAATATACGTGAATTATAAGAATTAAAATTCATTAATCTTGAGTTTAGAAGAAATCTCGCTACACGCATTAATAAGAAATTTTTAAAATAATTTTTTTCACAATGATTTCTTCCATTTTATAAATTATGGAGAGTACGTACCTTGTTCCAGTGAAATCGTCGTATTTATTTGGCAAACAGGCTGGACTAATGTGAGGGTTCTTTGAGAAATCGACATTATGATCCAGCGTCAGAATAGCGATGTCATTGGCAAGAGTGCCAGCGTAGTATTCAGGATGCACGAAGACACTCACGACGTCGCGTTCGATGTAGGGATAGAACTCGACATCGTGATTCACATCCCATTCACCTAATCGTGCGCGAAGATCACGAGGGACATGGCTCTTGATGCAATGAGCAGCAGTAATGATATGTCGGGACGAGATCAAAGTACCTCCGCAAACATAGACACTTTCCGTGGTGATCTTCTTCAGAATAGCTACGTGCCATGGGTATTCACCTAAATTAACAACGATTTAATATAGCAATAATATTATAATTTAATATTGCCATGTAATGAAATATTTAAAATTATTATATAATGCATATGTGTGAAAAATATCTCAAATAATATCATATTGTTAAGCAGTGCAAATGCATATGAAATTATATCAAGTATTTAAAATTTAAAGCATATTAAAAATTAATGTTTGAAAAATTTAATATTGTAGTAGTAATATTAAATTCGCGATAATGATAACTGATCTCTCCATTCAGGAACGTTTTATTAAAATACGCGCATTTATTAATTTGCGATCGATAAGCAATAATATCAGTTAAATGTTTGCTATTCTTGAAATTACAACAAAAAAGGGAGAGTTATGTTTATATTTTGTTTTTATGTTTTCTATCTTAATATTCCCAGAGAGGCGCGAGAATTTCTCCAAATGTATCTAATTCAAATTGACAGTATCCTTTTCTATAAATGCTATTCATTCAGTAATTAATTATATTAGAAGTCGCGTACCAAATTCGGATTCTCCGTCAACGTAGATTGGGGTCTTGATACGGCCATTGATGCCTTGTGCGTTTCTAACTCCGCATTGACCGTGTTTCACTCCTATTATCTGCGATCTTGGGCAGCAGACGTGATAAGAATTGCAAGCCGGACGTCCATATCGTCTCTGCGAATAGAAAGGGATCAGTCAATTGATTCGTCCCGACATACTTACGACGAGTTTACTTATCATATTCTTGACTTCTATCTTTGCTACACCGCTGCTCAGTTTGACAGTCTCGCGTTTCGTAAATTCGCAGAGTCGGTACCACCGTGATTGTCATTCTGAGTCATCCACCGATGGCCTCAGCCGCTTTGCAGCGGTTCTACAACCTCGTTATTACAACGGTTAAGTCTGTTCAGCAGAGCGAACAGACCAACCAACCGTATCCTTACCTCCGATGTTGTTTCGTTAAATGCTGTCGTGTCGCGTCTCCTTCTATTTGAGAAGGTAATCTTTCCGCTCTTCTGTCGTTCGTTGCTGGTCAGTCCTTCCGGCGAAACCTTCGACAAATCCTTTGTCAAGAATTGTCTACCTTTCGTCGTTGACGCGTTTCTCGCACGAGCGTTTCTATAGTAATTATCCTGATAATCATTCGAATAATCGTAGTCATCGTAATCGTCGTTATCGTCCTTGTGTAAGTAGGAAGGATAGTATTGTCCGCTGTGAGGCTTGTAATAAATCGATTCGTGATGATGATTATTGTATGATGGATAGAACGGTGGTCTGGACGGATAATGATAGATCGGTCTCTCGTGATGCGTGTGATAATGAGGAGCGTAAACGCCATAATGTCCGCCGTAATGACTGCCATAATGAGCTCCGTAATGACTGCTATGTAGTCCATATTTCTTATAAGCCAGGAGATGGCCTAACTTGTGAATAAGTCCTGGATTGGGTGTTACATGAAGATTCACGTAAGGCTTGATGATCTTCTCGCCGTACTCGTCTTTGGTGACCTGTACCGCTACGAGCGGATTCACGGCGACCGGACCTAGATTTATACCCTGTCCGCCAACCAGCCCGTATCCCGGGATTCCCAGGGGATAACCAGGATGGGGCGCGATTGGATCGACACCAGTTTGCGGTAGGCCGAAACTGACGCCCCAAGTCGGCTTCACGTTCAATTTCGAGGAGTCCAGATTGCCGGTTCCTATCGTCAGTCTCTGCAACGAGAGAGACGAACAAATTCACGTAGAACCGAGGTCTATTTCTCTTTCTCTCTCTTTCATCCCGATTCCGTTTTTTTCCGGGAGAATTAACATGTTGATTATAGTCGAAACTTTCTCGTCGCTTTTCCTCGCTTTATTAAAATTCGTTCGACCCAGATCACACGATGTCCTCCACTACGACGACATCTAATCTATCGTTTCTAATACGGACGTTTAATTGTGTTGTCTAGGACAAACAGACTGACTGAGAGTGTCAAACTGAGCGATACGTATTACAGAACAATGGCGCTAAATATTTGTTACAAGTAGCCATACATTTTACACGTCCGATAATTTAATCAATACACGAGTCGAACTTCCGATGCGAATAATTTATATAATTTAAATTTTAATCTCTTATCTAAAATAATATCTAAATAACGGTCAAAGTTTGATAATTTAT